CCCCCCCCCCCCCCCCCCCCCCCCCCCCCCCCCCCCCCCCCCCCCCCCCCCCCCCCCCCCCCCCCCGGCGCCCTTCGAAGCCATCCCATTTCCACCCACCAACGCAAAGGCGTCCGAACATTGTAGGCGCGCTCAGGTCTCTAATCCAATCTCTGGCCCACATCTTTTTTCTTTTTTTTTTTTTAACTTCGTATACGGGAAACCTTTTTTTTCCAACTTCGACGTGATAATAGCATCCCCGATAAGTAGATCCCAGCGTCGAAGGCTCCATCTCTATTGGAGGGGAGTTACACCTGCTGGAAATGGGGTCCAGCGTCCCTATACAAATGATGAGAGCCCGTGCGTACTTTGTTTCTTCCACTTGCAATGGCCCTCATGGCTGGAAGCAAGACCCCCCTCCCTGAAGCGGACGTCCCGGCAGGTCAGGGCCGAGGTCCCATTAGCAAAAAGAGGATCGGATCGAATGCCTGAATGTGGACGTGTTTTATGCAGAGATGCAGAAAAGCAGTTCAATCTGCAACTCTCGACAAACACGTCCAGATTCAGGCATTCTATCCCATCCTCTTTGTTAGTGGGACCAGCCCCAAGTGAAACACAGCTTGGAACAGACGTCCGCTGAAACAGACATCCCGAGCGCGCGCGCGCGCGTGACTTGATTGATCCTAAAGAAGCCGAGCAATCCGGCCGGGTCTTATCCTACGATTTTTTTTTATTTTTTTTTTAAAGGGCGATGGCCTTGAGGGGTTATCATCGGACTAACCAGCCAAGGTAAATTCAATCTTGTGTCTAATCTGACAACGGTGGCTTGATAGCCTTCAGGGAACCCCCAACGCTGTCTCTTATACACATCTAGATGTGTATAAGACTACTTTCTTGCGCAGGGGCCATGTTAATCTTTTCTGTATCTTTCCAATTTTAACGTGTGGCCCGAAGGACACAGCAGCTGTCTCTTATACACATCTAGATGTGTATAAGAGACCTTCCCCTACTTTCTTGCGCAGGGGCCATGTTAATCTTTTCTGTATCTTTCCAATTTTAACGTGTGGTGTTGGACTCTCGAGGTGTGAAATTGA